AAAATCGAAAAATATGCAAATGAGATGACAAAATTGACCTTTGTGGGACAGGATTGACAGAATTGAGTTTTGTGTTTACAAAATTGAGTTTTGTGGGACAGGATTGACAGAATTGAGTTTTGTGTTTACAAAATTGAGTTTTGTGGTACAGGATTGACAGAATTGAGTTTTGGATTGACAGAATTGAGTTTTGTGTTTACAAAATTGAGTTTTGTGGTACAGGATTGACAGAATTGAGTTTTGTGTTCACAAAATTGAGTTTTGTGAGACAGAATTGAGTTTTGTTAGACAAAATTGAGCCCTGTCCTGCATGGCGCCCCGTAGCATGCAGTGATGAGTGATCTTAATTTCCTCTACCAGAATTAACAATCGAATTGCATGCACCACATTCAGTACGATTGAAATCAGGTAGTATTCAATCATTAGGTGCTGTTCTAGATGCGATTCACGTATGCTAGCTGATGTGATACGAACAGATATTAATTCACGCTGACAATGAGTTTCAGTGTTCATTGTTTGATTTTCCAAGCGCTGGAAGTCGAATGCCTTACTATAAAAGCCATTCAACGAAAAGAAAACGTGATGGCTGTCGTCCATCCGTCCGTATATATATATATATAAGTAATGTGCCTATTTAGTATTCATCGACTGCGTCGACCTTCATTTAATGTCGAAATTTAATTGTCTAGGACCGTTTTTGCGATCAAATCCGGTGTACGAATGTACGATGCTTAAACCTAGCCATTATCGTTTTTAGCGTTTGCGAAAAAAATTCGACAAATTACACGCATTGCGCGAGAGTGCACGCCACGTGAATCCTAATACATTTTGACAGCATTAAAGAACCCATTTTTCTTTCATCGCTATATATAACACATGCGCCATTATATTACAAGTCACGTGTCAGAATTTGGCCCGTGGCACTATTCAACAGACTCTTCTGTATTTATGAAAAACTAAACCAGGACGAAGAAAGGGAAAACCAAAACGAAGAACTCACTCGAATCGAATTTATATATAGCATATGAATATTGTCAGTTCATTTTCCTGTAGCATGCATTATTATACTTGGTGATAGTCACCACCGTTTGTATTTTCCGTACGACAGTATTTCGTAATAATGATACGTCGTGTTCATCAAGTTCTCATCTGAGCCTTTTCAATGCGACACCTATTAGCCTTTCCTTTGATCGTCTGCTAGCCGCTCACCACACCTGTTGATGGAACGTTACGCTGAGTTACATAATTACGTCAGCAAAGAAATGTTTTCTCACACAAATACACGGCCCGTACCGGCATACCGAGCTACCGTATACAGACGCGTCGACGTCTTATATCGTACTGTGCGCTACGGCCGCTCAGACGTCGGCCTACCACACCGTACTGTGCCGTACCGTACTGTACTGTACAACACCGTGCTGTACGCTACCTACGCACCGACGTACCATACCTACCGTATCGACATATCCTTGTATCGTACCGTACCGTGTCGTACCGACCTACTGCATGGCGTACCGTACCAAGATCCGCAAGTGTAATCGGGAGCGAATGCTACCACGAATTGTGCATCGCTGGCTACATATATTGTATCGCGGGTGGCTTGCGGCGCCAGACTAGTTGCAGACGTCGGACTCGGAATAAATAACAACCCTAAAACCGTCGTCCCTGGTGCATCTGTTACATCCTGTTACCAACCAAATCTAAGACGGTTGCGGCGACTCGCTGCCGGCATGGGAAAACCCACCGCAACTATAGTTGAATCAATCTTTATAAAACTTGCAGTGAAGGCTCTACTGGCTGGAGCGCCACAAATTACCTCGCGCATATCAAGGCCATAGGCGAGTACCTGCACATCCTGCTTTACTCAACTGCCAGAATCGTGAGGTTCCGCGAGCCCACGCTACGTCGTGATGCGGGCAGGTCGACGTATATTCGGATAAATATAGTTTACCTGTACCGTGATCAGGGTGTCACCGCGGACGCGTGTGACTTGTTTAACGTGTGTCTCAATACAGACACAGCGACATCAGATCGAACGACGCACGGGCAGCAATCGTGAAACGTACGTGATTCTAAGTGTATTTCTTCGATCGCCTGGGATTCTACGAAACGAAGGTGTTGCTAACGGCAAGATTACCGCGAAACAATAACTCGCTAACACGGACCACGATTCCGGTTGAGTAATTTACGGCGGAGATATAGAGACGAAAACATCGTCTGCAACAACGACAGTTTTGGTACGATCGCCGCACGACGACAACATGGAATCACGTCTAAGAGTTGTCATTTCGATGGCGCTACTGTGTGTGTTTATTCAAGCAATGCCTGGAATGAATGGCAGAGGCAATGCCGGCAACATGCGAGGTGCTAGTAATGCGAATCGCCGTCCTGGTACAGGCCCGAGAAAACTTCCGCCAGGACTACAAAAGCCGAGCAAAAGTCGTCGGGTAAGAAAGTACACGATAGGGACGCAGTCGGTATATTTATGTGAAAGTCAGTCAAGCATAACAAACTATCCGTCTGCCTTAATTGAGCACAACAAAAGACAAAACGCACAATTATCGAATGAGAACAGTCGCAATGTCACGATTACGGTAGTTAGTTGTACTAAGATTCCCAATTGCCGAAAATTACCAAGTGTGATAAAAGAAACTGGCCATGAAATCACGTTATTATCATATTCATCATGAAGAAATAAACGTGTTGTAACTATATAACCACGCCGGTACATACACGATTCGTCAACTTGTGTCTTGTTGCAGCCTCATGGCCCGCCACCAAGAGGTCCGAAGAGGGGAAGAACTGACGAGGAATACGCAGAATGCGAGCAAATCTTTGACAAAATCCAAGAAAAACAGGCTAAGAAACGAGGAAAACCCTATGTAATTCTCTTGTAATTTTGTGATATGATGAATATATTATTATTATGATTATCATTATTATTATTATTATTATTATTATTATTATTATTATTATTATTATTATTATTATTATTATTATATTATTATTATTTCACTTTATTTTATACCTGATCAATTTCGTTGGTTTGACCTTTTCCGCGCAGAAAAAGTTCGTGTGGACCGACGGGCTGTTTGAGAGTGACATAGTGATTAGAGCTGAACAATGCAGACGCATAGGGAAAGACTATGGCGTGGACGTTCCCCCGACCAGCGCTCACGCGCGCACTAAACGCAAGTTAACGGCAGATGTCTCCGCTCGATGGGACCCCAGCCGTCCCATCTACTTCTACATAATGCAGACAAACTACGGTACATATACGGTCGTACTCTAATAGATAAGGTGCTGCGCTAAAATACTAAGACAAACGAATACAGCTTAATGCCGAAGACAGTTAGTAATTAATGGCTAATAAAGCTACTATATATATATACATACATATATATACATATATAATGTACTATATATATATACTATTCTCTATAGTCGTAATATTGTTATATATAGGCACATAGTTTTACGTGCGCGCGTCTCCAGGTCATGGTTTAATTATTTTTGAAGGCCCTTTTGAGCTAGCGACAATCCGAGCCGCCGTGGGCCACTGGCAGGACGAGACGTGCCTTAACTTCTTTGAGCTTGACGCTCTGCCTGATCAGAATGCAGACATCGACTTCATATTCATCTTCAAAGGGCCAGAGTAAGTTCACAGCTAACCGTGGTACTGTATGTATACTAGCTACTGCAGATCGTAACCCGAGGCGCAGGTCTCGATGCTACGAGACAAGGGCCGACGCTTCTACCAGTCGACGTATAATAGGCGTGTTCACACACAAGAAAAACCGCGATGCTCATCCCGCTAATAGCGGAGATAATAGTGAAATAATTGTGTCGTTGTTCACACAGGCGGAAATATCTCGCTAATCGCCGAGCGGGATAACACGCCGCGGTGCAAATAATCGCGCTAATTCCAAATAGCGCAGTCGGAAGTGCGATTTGGAGCGCGATTTAGTGAGATATTTGCGTTCACACTTTTGCGTTCACACTTGTAAAAATCTCGGTATTT